TCTATGCCAAGCAATTTAAAATAATTTTTAAAGGATTCTTTATATATGGTTACGTCTACCCTACAGCTGTATTTAGGTTTTGCATTGGTTAAGTCAGAATGAAAGTTATGAAAACATATTATAGGTAAATTTTGACAACCAAATATTTTCATTTCAGAAAAATATCTGTGTTTATAGTCTCAATTCCCAAACCTAAAATTTAACAACCTGGCACACCTGCAATTTTGAACATTTATTTTAAGGGTGATTTGGCTTTTGCTTTCTTTGTGTTAGTTTAGCATTGGCTTGGTTTCTTTTTAAATAAAAAACCCCCACACATCAGAAGCATTCTTTTCCTTCTTTCTTTCACTTCCTACTCTGAAGTACTAATCACTATCTAAATTTTACATATATACACACACACCACATGCATACACACACCACCTGACTTTGAGATAACTGTCTCTTTCTCCAAGGAATCACTGCCATTTTTAAGCTATTTGTGAACAGGTCAATCTTGAAAACATATGAAAAATAATACATTCTTGTTTTCCCCATTATCATTACTGGAACCAAGAGAACATAATTTCAGGTTTGTTCCACATCTGATTCCTCTCAGCTACTCACTCCTAATGTCACATGGTTTACTTGTCTCAGGATCGTAACTGTGCAGCAAATCACTTCTCTGGGTAAAGATCCAGCATGTTCCATCCTGTCTTTCCTAAGGCAGAACTATATACAATGGGATGCAATTTTACAGAATCAGAGAATATTAAGGGTTTGGAAGGGATATTAAAGATCTCTAGTCCCATCCCCCTGCCATAGGCAGGCCCTCCCCCTAGGAGGACTGGGGGATCCACAGCCTCACTGGGTAGCCTGTTCCAGTGCCTCTCCATGCTCACAGTAAAAAAATTCTTTCTAATATCTAACTTAAATTTTACCTCTTTCAATTTGCATCCATTACTCCTTGTCCTGTCACTACAGCTCCTAACAAAGAGTCCCTCTCTGGCTTCTCTGCAGGCCCACATCAGACAAGTAGGATTTGAGATTTAAGCCAAGCTGTTTTATTCAGTTTCTTTTCTAAAAACCAGTGTTAGCTCTTCAAAAAGATTTTTTAAAATATTATTTATATTGAGTTAGTTTCCCTAGAATTCTTCCTCAGTCTGGAGTCTAATGAATTCAGGAATACAAATTAAACATCAGAACTTCAATACATCAAAAATTGTGTTCAGATAGGAGGTGTTGGAAACATAATCAATCTTATTATTTATACTCAAGAAGAATATTTAAATAAAAATAGCAAAAGCACTTGAAGTACATGGAGTTCTTAATACTATGAAGGTTTTCACTAAAAGATGAGCCCAACTTATGGCATGAAACTCACCAAATTAATTTTTCCTTGCACTATAAATCTTCTTCACCTGAGATGCACAAGCAATGGCCTGGAGTCTGTTACTCTCACAGATGCAACACGTAGCCTAGAAATGGTTTTCTCTTTTAAAGAAGCATCATGTCAGCCATTGTAAAGTGAAATGCTGTGCCTGCCAAAATTCACGCCTTACTCTACGGATATCTTCTATGCCCAAGAGGCTTCACAGAAGCACTCAATACTCTTCAGTGGAAAAACACTCATACTAGACCAAAGGCTGAAGGACTTCCACAGAAAATTCAGTTATTCAAATGAAGACTTTCTGTGATTAAATAATTCATATTTTCCCTACATATTCTCAAATGCATAGCAGAAAAGCCTATAGCTGTTTCCATTTTTCAGAACTCTCTTCTTTTAAATAATCAGTGACACTATACCCTACCATGTTATTCTGCTTAAAGCACCACCTTCCAGCTTTCATTCAATTTTGCATTGATTTTGTCTTTCAAATGCAATTCATCATTATTGAAAACTGTCTCTAGCATTTGCTCAGCAGAGACTACTTTCTGTTTCCTGCATACTAATTATGTTCTATGGAATACAGAAAAAAGCTTAGGGTTGAGAAGCTTTTCTTCTAAGCCATACTTCATTTGGGATTGAAAACAGTTTTAGAAGATGCATACTCTCACACTATATTCATCCACCACCATGTTGATGGACCAGATGTCCATGATAAGTCCCTTCCAAAGGATATATTTTATATTCTGCCTCCTCCTCATTTAAATTTATAGATTCCAATTTTTGTAGTAGCAAACCCTACTGGAAATTATGTGCCCCATAGGAGTGCTAATGTTCCAGATACAGTTTGTTAAATAAAAATACTGAATAAAAGTATAAATTAGATCAGTTGTGACTGGTACTGACAATGGCAGAGGTGACATCATCATAATCAGTTTAATAAAATCTAGGGTTGTGTAGCACTTTCAGAACAGAAATACAAACTGTATTTAAGAGGTAAACTATGAACACATGGAAGTTGTTTTCTAAATGCTGAAGTCTCCACAATTTTCTGCTGTCTCCTTACACTCAACAGGTATAAATTTCATGGCCTATGCCAACTTAGAAACCCTATGGTACAGAAGCCTTCTCTTTACACAGTTTCACTAGGACTCAAAGTGCAGCCTTGCTTTCTCAAAATACCCATGACAAATCAGACAATAAGCATCTGAAAATAAGCATCATTTCATTCTATTCCAAATGAAAACAAAAGCTTTTTGATTTCCATAGACCCTGAAGGTTGCCTTCTGCTCAAACCTAAAACAAGCACAATCTAAATGTGGCTCAAGCATTTAACTACAATACCCATTAAGACCCCAAATTCCATTAACAAACAATTTAACTATATTCATACTAAAAGTTATAGGGTTACATACTTAAGGCAGCCCACAGTGAACAACACAGGGGTTCTACCCAAGCTGAGACTTGGTGAAATATACCAGCTGAGAAAAACAATGTTTTTAAACTCCAAACATCAATTTTTGAAAACTGTACTTCACAACCACATTTTTGAGGTTGCTTGGGGTAGAATTTTTGTCTAAATCAAAAAAATTACAAAACTAGTCACTAAGTCCCATTTTAAAAGTTATATTTGCCTCTACTCCCACTTACAAACAAAATGAAATGATATAAAATTAAAGTAGGATTTAAGCTAGCACTTTATAGTCCCTTCAGTCTGTAGTTTCTTGATCACTTTAAGGCAGAATAAACCAGAACCACTATCAAAAGAATTGATCCTGTCCTCTGTACAAACCCCAGTCATTCATTCATACATCCCCTTATACCAGTGTAAGTCTTCACTCAGTCACACAGGGAACAGAATTGGGAAATTGATCTGTGTCCAATTAATTAAGAAAAAAAAGTTCCTAGGGAGATGCATTCAAAATTGCCTTCACTGCTTCCTGATTTATCTCCCCAGCTCTCCCACCAGAAACTGAAAAAAGGCAAAGCCATACTTTAGGACCACCCAGCATGACACTGGCCATGCTGCTCCTCAGAAGCAGAGACAGACCTGCCTGAAACAAAATGCTTCATGTTTGTTACGGGTAATGGAGGCACAGCTATCAAGCTTTGGGATCAACAGGATATTCATTTGGAAAACCATTTCTGTGGAAACCGCTTCAGGTCCCTCACTTGGAGTGCATGTATCTGAAGTGGCTGAGGCTGGCACTTGGGTGGTGTGTGCCACAGAAAGGCTGAGTCATGCAGAGCCAAACACCCCTCCACAAACCAGCTTCCCTTGTGCTGTGGGACGGCTTCTGAACATCTGGGCTGTTGACTCACAGTGTGACATAGCTGGCCTTTGGTACACAGGAGTGCCAAACACATCCTGCTTGTGTCCCACTAGTCAAAACCAATTCAAAGCTGTAAAATCAGTAAAAATTCCCTGGCATCACAAAGACAGGGCTTAGGACAGAGCAACTGTAAGCTCTGATGTACTTCTGACACTCAAACACCACATAATACAGACTAGAAGAAGCCAAGAAAGAGGCACAGGCAAAGGATATTCATGAATACTTACATCTTGTATTTTTGCAATGACTGTTAGTTGTAAAAGTGCTCAAATTAAAAATTAAGATAAAAATCAGAATATGGTTGAAGACCAGACCTGACCAAAATTGTTATCCATAACTCAGTACCTAAAGAATAGGTGTTCACCAACATTTGTGAGGCTCACCCACAACATGCTCTTTACTTCTCAATTTTAAAATCTGAATGGATTTTTTCCTGTGCAAGTATACAACTCTAGTCTGCTTTATTTAGGGATTTTTTTACAGATATGAAAAACATGCCAAAGAACTGCACTGCAATGAAGCAAAATCTACCTACACAGAGCTTTTGTAATTTTGAATTATTGTGAATTCAGGTGTGAGATTTAAATACTATCACAAGGTAGTCAGGCAGAGACCACACATTGTCATTCAGTTTAGTTTGTCTCTTAAAGACTGGACAAATACTAATTGGTGTATGAGGTCTGACATGAAGCCTTTTAGGACAAAAACATTTAGTGGCTTTTCAAACTCAACTCACTAGCACCTGAGATTTTACTGTGGAACTGGGTCAAATTGAACATTAGTTTTTGTCTGTAAGTTTCAGTTTGCTCTCCATCATGAGGATAGAGCTCATAACTTAAGGTATTAGCTCTGTCTCCTTATATCAGTGTTGGTAGAGAAGAAGCTTTCTTACACTTCTTAAATACCACCCTTCAAAAGGAATAACATTTGAAGTGCCAGCTTCTTCAGAGACAGCAGTCATGTAACAGCCAGCACATATCAGTTTCATTTTTAATGGAAGATATGTATCCTTGCTGAGGAAATATCATGAGAAAAAAAAAATGAATTTGCTAAAGTACCAACAGCAATAGCAAAATGTTGAGAGAAAAAAAAAAAAAAAAAAAAAAAAAAGAATTTGCTAAAGTACCGTGGACAAAGTTTTGTTTACCAACAAAAACTGTAATTCAATTTGGACAGTCACTCACCTGAAGTCACACTTTCTAATGTTCCTAAGTACATCTGATGTTCTCTAATTCAGCTGCTACCTGTATCATACATGTAACTGTGTTAGTGCAAAGAAAAGAAAAATATTTTTCACTTACCTCTCTGCCAGCCTTTGCTGGAATCTGTCCCTGAGTCTCTCTCAACTTGCGAGCACTGTCAAGTTTGGCTTGAAGTTCTGAAGCTAACTCCTTCAATGAAAGTGATAGTACTCCATTAGTTTAACTATCTTAAACTTTCAGGATATCTTTATATCAAAATGAACTATTCATTTCATTTTTTGTGTTTTGATTTAAAATTTTAAACTCTAATGACACAAAATACTAAAGAAAACATCAATATAATTCACACAATTCTTTATAGGATATAACATGAAAAAAATGTTCAGAATAGAGGCATCTGAAGTATAGGAACAAGTATTGCCATAAAGAGATCAGAAAATGTATTCTTAAGCATTATTAAGTTCTACTAATAAATGCTTTGCATAACTAAGCATAGGTATCACTATATGTATAAGCTGAAAAAGGAAGCCTGAACACATCATATCCTTTTTCTTTTCTTGTACACACACACACACACACCTTTACACACATATATCAGCTCTATGGATCTATGAGGGAAATATCTCTCAGAAATTTTTGCTATGAAATTTCACATCTCTCTACACTCCATGTCCAACTTCTACTCTTTAAACCTTATTTTGAGAATTAAAATGTACAAGAGGTAGGAAATAAGAACAGTTTAGTCTTGTGCAAATTGGTTTTGATACTCCTGTGCTCCCTTAACCAATGACTATTAACTAAACAGGAGTATTTCAGAATATCTTGCATTGCTAGGAATTGCCAGCCTATCAACCTGTAAAAAATAGAGAGATTTATACTCTAACATCTCTGTCTGTTTCACTGACTGGACTCCAACCATCATACCCATACTTGCCACCAAAAATTAAGTCATTTGATCAACACCGGGCAGCAAATCAGTAACAAAAATAGAATCAGAATTCATTTGGCCCACATGGCCAACCTCGAGCTCCAGCCACCAGAACATGCTGTTACATAACCATCTGTTCTGGTGTGTGGGGATGAACTTGCTTAAACTAGCTGCATTTTCAATCTGATTAGAGAAAGACCATGAAAAATATTTAAAATGCCACACCACAAGGTTATTATATATATATTATTAGCTATTTTATTATTTAAGTTGTTGTTGTTTGGTTTTAGTTTTATTTTTTTAACTAGACTGATTCAGAGTGCATATATAGAAATTTGTATATATACAAATAATAATAAAATTGTAGTACTGGTTTCTGCCACATGATTTGGGTCAAAACAAAACAAAATGATAGATTAAATTAATTACAGAGCCCCACAAAATACATGTCTATTTTTCATCAAATCACTTTCATTCAGTTCCCATCAGGTTGAAAAGAAAAAAACGAGACTTGTGCCCAAAGTTTTGTTTAGGCAATGCTACTGAAGCTGAGCAGTATCAGAAAAAAAAAGTTTGCAAATTTTTGCTGTTTTCCATCAGTTTTGGAAAACCTTCCCTCCACAGTACTTCAGCAACTAGTGCATAGATAGCTTACACTACACCAGTCCCTCACAAACCTATTACTTTCATAAACATATTTTTCCTCACTAATGTATGTTTTTTAGTATTAACTAAGGAAACTAGAGATTAACATATGAACACATCAATCATTAACATTATACCTTAGTAGGAAATACATTGCTTCAAGTTACTTTTAATTCACCTTTGAAGTTAATAACATTTAAAATGGACATGATTTCTAGATAAGGTATTGCTGTTCAAATGTTTAAAGCTACATACCCACATCTACTTCTAAAGTCCATGAAAAAAGAATTTATAACATAAAATTGGTTTGAAAAGAAAATATTTGTAAAATGGATACTTTCTCCTAACAAAATTTGAATTATCTGATAAGGGCTTTAACAAGGATCAACACCATGTCCTAGTCCAGCAATAATGACAAAACATACTAAAACTTTCTACAAATCAAAGAATCAATAGCTCTTGAGAAATATTAATTTACCACTTGGAGACATAACATGTTTTATATATTACTATAAATAAATATTTATTTATTCTTTCTTAAAGATGCAGATTTTGGTGCAAATATTATGTCACAAGAGGCAAACTAAACAGGTGCAGTAAAAATTAATCTTAAAAAATAAATACAAAAGTCCACAGTGATAGCATTTGCTTCTAAAAAAATGTGAAAATAGTTCCTTAAGAGCAGCTATTCAGAGCCAAGCACTTGAAAAACACAGCTTAAAAACTAACAGATTCTGACCTTGCTATAACTGAAGCTTCCAGACAGTACTACTGAAGTGAATTAACTCATTATAGCCATGTTTAATGTAATAAATAAAATGCATAAACCTCCAAATTTAATGTTGCAGAAGAGTGAAATTCTTGTTCCTTCAGGTAGCTGGCTGAAACAAGCCACATTAAATATGCAGCTGTTTTTCCCAGCTCCACAGACCAACTTCAATCAGAGCAGGACCACAAAGCATTCCACAGCTGTTCTCAGGGCAGATCTGGCTGCAATAGCATGGCTGCAATATGCTATTCCTTTCAGTTTTACAATTTCCATATCACATTTAATAAGCCTGCTTATACAGCAGAGCTATGGACCACAAGCACCCACTTGTGACAAAGCTGATGAAATAAGTAAAGCTCCAGACAATGTTTACCTTGTATCAAAGACAGCGAGCTTTGCAGTTTTCACCTGCTCCCTTTTTTATAATAAGAGAATAAATACTAAAAAAAGGGCAGAGAACAACTGGTTTAGATATGCTGCTTATCCTAAAAAGCCTGGGGTCCTGAATCCTCTACTCAAGTCTATGAACTACTGCATTTAAAGAAGAAATTACTGTAAAAGCAGTATCTTCAAATCCTACCAAATTTTGCAAGTCTTTATTTGCTTGAATCAATATCCTTTTAAAAAACACACCCAAACAATTAAACTGCTGTAAGCTTTGAAGAAAAACTGCAGTAAATCATGACAGTTTTTCACAGCCATTACCATGTCTCCCATGAGTTCTGCTTTCACAATCCTCGCTCCCAGTCTGTTCATCTCCTCTTCACTAAGGACCTGAGGCGGTTCATCCTGTGATGATCTGTAAAACAGCAGCTGCACTAAAGCCACAGAAAAACAGGGCACTATTCACCTGTGTAATTCAGTATGATAAGCCTACTGTACTTGTACATATGTGTCCACTGGCAAAATAATTCAAAACAACATATTATAAAAATGTATTTGCAGACTGAAGTTGCCAAGGACTCTGAAACCAAAGACCTTGAATAAATTTTTTATGAGGTTTGTTTCCTTTAACTTTTGAGAACAACTCAAATGAAAAGCACTATCTATGAACATTCTCCCAGCATGAAAAAACAGTCAAGAGTCAGTAGCAGGTATAAACAGGAAAGAGAAACAGAAAGTGTTATTTTAACCTACTCTAATTCTTCTTTCTGGGTTTGGCCATGCTTTTACTTCTCAGCTTCTGCAAAATCACCCATTTCTGAGTTATTATGTTTGTCAAATGGCCTTCCACCTCTTGAAGATTACTTATTTTCCCTTATTTTTCTGCTCACAGTACAATCTTTGCATCTGAATATGTTATGGCTGATACAGAAGAGTTTCCATGGAAAATTAACTGATACCATGTTAAAATATGAAGTGCCCATAGAGAAGCCACAGCTGGTAATAAAGAGTATTGTACCTTAATGTTAGTATTAAAAACTTAGCATATGACTTTTTATGATATTTATTAAATACAGATTGTAAGAAATACTGTGAAGAGGCATCAGGTAAGTTTGGCTCTTGTTCTCTGACCCTAAGAAAGACTAGAACAAATTTAAAAAGTAAAATACCTAACACAAAAGATACATAAGAGTGCAGTTATAATACTGGTTCCTGCTGTTAAGAGGCAGAATTCACTCAGTAACTGATAGGGCTAAACCCTGTAGGATTTGAAGAAAAGGAAATCTTTGAAGATGGTGTCCTCTTTAAGCACCAGATCTCCCCAGTCCTGAGAAAATTACTGAAGTTGCTTTTCTTCATTTTCAAGATACCCAATCCAAACCCCCAAAATTCAGCAGAATTTAGTTTAATTTCACCAGAAACAAAACATGCAAAGATTAAGTTCCCACTGTTCCTTAAGCTGTATCCTTCAAAGCAAGGCAGACTACTTCAGAAAAGGGAACAAAAGGTTTTTATTACTTCCTATATGCTTTTTTTAATGATGCTAGTGCTTGAATCATTGTCTGAACTTTTTGAGACTTGAGACATTGCTTTGATTTGCTTTTTATCTTGTCTCAAATTAAACTCTGAAGCAGTCACATTATTAAGTGTGACTTCCAGCAAACACTAGCTGATGGACTTTTCCTCTGGGGAGATCCCTTGGACATCCAATCAGCACTTTTAATTAACCTGTGTCATAACTGTCCAAAACACTTTGATTTATAGGCTGAAGAGACTTCCTCTGTGCTTTAGAAAAGATAAAATTTAAAAGCCATACTTTCAGCATGAGGAACTGAACCAGCAACACCTATTAATTCAAGCCTTCACCTCAAAGATTTACTTTTTGTGACTGACAACACTACCAAAAGAGTACATGTATTACAAGTCTAGAATCTTTAAGAAGAAAAAGAAAGCAGCAGCTTATAAAATATTCTCAACAGGTATCTACTGCATAAATCCAAACCTAAAACATTCCAAAAGCCAGAATTTTCTACAAAATACAAGACCAAAAAAATTACTTTTGACTGCTAGAAACAGGAAGACAGGTTATTCACTATTTCAAAGCACAGAGTCTCAGGAGTTAAGAAGTCATCTTAGAAGAACTTGGAAATAAGTTATGTCAATAAGCAGAGGCTATATGGTTTTTGCAGGCCTAAGTAATCCCTGCTTTACTAATGAGTCAGCTTAGTAATTGCATTGGCTAAGAAATATAATTAAAATATCAAAGCAGATGCACAATTGGGTTTAACAGCACCAGAATGGAAAACACATGCAAAAGAAAATATCAGCTGAACAGTTTCTACATCTAGTTCTCTTCTGTGAGGAAAAGAACTATCTTTTCTATCATAATAATTGAATTCTTTGAACTTGAGCAAGTAAACCACTTCCGCACACAATCTCATTTCCCAAAATTTGCAGCTTTGTCCAGTTACAATTACCATTGCACTTAGTAAATGTGGCAGTTAAAAAAAGGTACTGTTTTTGTACCTGCAACTAAAAAAAGTGAATAACCATTATTTCACACAAAAAAAAAAAAAAGAAAATAAAAAACAAAGGAAAAAAAAAAAAGAAAGGACTGAAGAGTAGCTGCTTCTTTGAAGAAAACAATACTGAGGCAATGTTCTACTAGGTCTGGCTGGATGGGATGGAATTTATTTTTTCCACAGCAATGTGGTGGTGCGTTTTCCTCCACATTGTGCCTAGCCCTCCCCTTCCCAGGCCATTCTGCAATCCCAGGAATTCCCATTATGCTTTGGCCTTTGAGGACCAATGAAGTATCCCTTGACTGCAGCAGGACCTCTTGCCACGCTAAGATGGGAGCACACTGTCCGCACCCAGAACTCCTGGTGCCTGCCACAGTGGGGAACAAAGGCAGAAACACTCAGTCAGCCCCTGGCAGCCTCTGATCATTACTCACCTGAACCACAGCCTGAGTGGAACTGTACCATTGCTACTGGAATTTTCAAAATTCCAGTGACTGTGACAGACTGTGGCCAGGACGTAAATTTACTGATGACTGCAGCCCAGCACGCTGCGACCCCACCAACAGCAGAGCTGTGTGAGGCCCTCTAAGCTCTCCTAGACCACAGCAGGCTGTGCCAGCATTTCAGTGAGTGGGAACACCTCTCAGAACTCACCAACTCCCCAGTTTGCAAAGATTAGAGCACTGTCATAGAAAGCTGAAACCCTCCACTCCTTGAGGCTCAACTCCTGCTTGTTGATAAACTCCAATACATTTGAAGTATTTCACTGAACTCAAGAGGAACTCTTAATAGGCTTTTTTATATATATAGACATATATATTTTTATACATTTATACACTTCTATCCCTATATATCTCTTTTCATCCATGTCCATCATGTGTGAATTACTGGGACAATCTGAAAGAAAAGATTCATAGTAACAACCACACCAGTCAGATCACTGGAAGAACCAGCAAGCTGCTAGTACTGGAGAACAGGAGGCCATGAGCAGAGCAAAAGGTCAGTTCTCTACAACTTGTCTGACCACCTACCTCTCCTTACTATTCCATTGTCTTTCATAAAAGCAAGACACAGAAAACTAAATTCCTGCTGCCTATTAAGTTTGTGTTTCCTTTCGCGCTCCTATTAATGCTTCCTCTTCACCACAGAAAACATACTTTCTATTAAACACCTTCTACTATTTTTCATATGCTACTTCTTTAGCATATGAGCTCATCTCACAAGTGGCAAACCTATCCCTGCTGTATTAATTATTTCAGGTTTTAGTCAGCATTTTCTAACATTTCAAGACTGCATTTTATAAATTCAATCACCATTGAGATATTTTGGAGGTTTTTTTTGCCTAAGAGGCCAATTTTACCACAGTGTGAACTAACATTAGAAAGAAGCAGAAAATAACCTATCATTAGCAATTCTCAAATGTGCTGAGGAGACAGATCAGGTAAGGGATGTTCACTACTTCTGCTGAACTTACTTCTTCTAGCTGCCCTTAGGTGGAGGCTGACTCCTCCTCCAAACTAAAGAGATCTGATATAATCAGTGCTTATAAGGTCAAAAAGGAGATAGAGCTTTTGTCATATTTTGCCATGGAAAATACAGCAAATAAAAACCAAGTAAAGATGTTCATAAAATACCTAGAGGATGATGTTTTACTGTCAGATAAAATCTCAGGTGCATCACTTGCATGTTCCTGTCGTGACTTCTCTTTTTCATCACTTAGAGGAGTTCTTTTCCAATTTTTGCCATCAATTTGTTCCCTAGTACCTGATGATTTTTGATCAGACTTTAATTTCTCATTGCTATCTTCCGTGTGTGTTTTGGTCCACAGTGCAGTATCCTCACTGGGTTTCTGGAAACGGCTGTTCAAAGAGCTGTGAGCTGAGTCCTCCTTGGAAGAGAACTGCTTTAACTTGGAGTCTCTGGGTGCACTGTAAGATGTTAAATCATCTTCAGAGGGTTTCAAAAATTTGTGTTTCAAGTTGCTTAGAGATGAACTCCTCTCCTGATTTCGTTTTTCACTGGAGTATTTTTCTGCTTTGGAGCTGTAGCCCCTTGGTACTGAGTCCATGCTACTGTGTCCACATTCCTGGTCTGCTCTTGATACATCTCTTTTGTAACCTCTGTCTTCCTGCACCCACCCCTTGCCATACTTCTCCCTGGAATAGCCCCCAAATTTGTGTCTGTCTCTATCATCTTCATCTCGTGTCTCCTTTTCAATATGCTGCTCTCTCTTGTCTTTCTTCTCTTTCTCACTTTCTGAATAGTCAGTCTTCTTCCATCTTCCACTTCTATGATAGTTTTCCCTTTTGGATGCAGCTTTTTCAGCTTCTTCTAATCGTGACTGAAATATCTCCACTGACTAAAACAAATAACAAAAAAGTCATACCACTTTTAAGGCCATGGGGTATTGTTGAAGTATTTAGAATTTTCTATAAGATCCCATATGTTGAAAACATTTAACAAGAAAAATATATAAAAGGCAGGGTAGCTCTAAACCCATCATCACTTGAGAGAAGCTTCAGGGGCTGTTTTTTCCTGCTTCTTTTCACATGTCTTACTTTATACATTAAGTATTTGTGCCTTTATATGAAAGTAATCTTTTCCAAGCATCTATTAGTATAAAGAAAATTTAGCTGAAGATCCTTACCCCATATCTCTCAGCTACAATTTCATCAAAATTTCGCTTCTCTCTCTCAGCCTGCTCCTTCATCCTTTGGTATGATTTTCGCAGCCAACTTAATCCAGCATCTTCTACCACTGTAACTAAAGTAGAAAACAACGAGAGGTTGTAGTTTTGCATCTCAAGTAATTATTCCTATTTAACCTTATTCTGTATGTAACATTAAAGCTTCGCCTAAACTTATTGTAAAAATTGAAGGAGTGCAAAAGAAAAACAGAATTAATATACAATTACATATTTTCATAAATTAATGCTGGTTATACCTCAGCAATACGACTCATTTAATTTAAGCTTCTCTAGTTTATCACAAGCAGTTTCTAATACAGGAGTGGCATATGAGAAGTTTCTTTACAACATTAAAGAACCTTCCTGTCACTCCCACATCCTGTGTCCATTCTTAGGCATACCCCTTACACACAAACAAGTGAATTTCCTTTCTCAGAAATTGAATGAGTAACCCACTGCTTCCCATGTGAGAAGCTAGCAGTGGTCTTGACATTCTGAACACACACTCATTGACACCTGCCAACCCTTACAGATCTCTCATCTCTGTGACTCCTAAAAGTGGGCATGAGCCTAATGGTTTCTGGGACAGAATGTCCACAGGGAAAGGCTCTCAAAAAGTAGACCCCACTCTTCTCTGTTGACACAATACAAGGATCATTCTCACCAAATAATAAATGTTTCATGACATTATGAAAAATGTTTTTGTTACTGTGTTTGCTGGAAGTGAGCAGGATAACCCTGGGGTAAGGAAAAAAGTGAAAAGGCTACAGAAATACTATTTTTCACAAACTGCATCTGTAATGTACTTCATTTTGATGTGACTCAGACTTCTGTGGGTGAATACTTTAAAACTGCAATTTGTGCAATGGAATGAAAGGAACCAAATGAGTTGACAACAATTTATCTTGTCTTAGTTAAATCATGCTTTTCTTTAATTAGTTCAAAATGGAGAATTTTGTAAGGATATTGAAGGTCAAACCACTCAAGATTAAAACCCAGTGAAGATAAATTCTGCAAAACACATACTATGATACTAACCCAATATTCACTATGGAATTTTCATACAAATTTTACTTTATTACTTATTAATAATATATATATTATTCATAATCCTGTTAAAACATTAGGAGTAATTTGCTAGCAACACACAGTCGAGAAATTGGAGACAGAAATTTAAGATTATTAGTAAAAGTTGCTCTTAACCTTTCTTAACTGAAGCCTCTTCATCCTTCTCTGGTGGCAAACCTGTACCACCATCTTTCCAATAGGGATTGAGTTCTCTCTCAGATAGCATGGCCTAAAACAGAAATAATTTAAATGTTTGCATAGCATATGGTTTGTATTTTATAGAAGATCTGATAAATTTTCAGATACTTGTGTGTGAAGTCACACAATTCACCACCGCCACTTTCATGGTCTAAGCACATGTTGTATACATTGTTTTGAGTACCAAAGAAAAAGCAGACACTCTGGTGGAGGAAACACAGGAGTATAAACCTACAATGGACAGCAAGTAGTTGGGTGGGAGAGTCTATAAAAATCATTATTTTCTAAGATCAAGAATACATATAAATTTTCATTAACCATATAATACATAATACATATAATACATCCTGGTGATTTAAGATGTCCACATTAAATGGTCCTCCAACAGCTCTGAAATGACACTAAGGAAAAAATTGTGGAGAAAAAAAATTTTAAAATATTACTCCCTTGTGTAAAGACAATAACTAAGACACTGCATACTATACAAAAACAGTGATCCAGGTCAGTCTGGTTCCCAAGCACAACACAGCTAACTGGGAAACTTAATGGCAAGAAAGAGCCTGCTGTGAGATGTGAGGACAAAATTAGCTAGTGATCCATCACTATGTTTTCAGACCAGACTACACAGCATTTAACAAGGTAAATGAGCAAATGAAGGAGCCATGAACTGTATGTAAAAAGAGTTAATTCAATGACAGCAACCCTTTTTCTAGCCAGACACTGAGTCACCCATATGTTCACCAACAACTGAGACATGAAAGGCACAACTGCTCTGAGTTCTTTCTTTAGGAAAAAACAAGCCTCTGTACATTTAAATACAGTAACTTAAGTAAGCTTTTATCACACTAAACAAAGGTGCTCCTTTCACACACCATGGAGAAGGCCAGACCAACAGTCTGTCATTGTTACTAACAGAACTTGGTACTAACAAAAGCAGCTTTCTCCTTACCTAGAAGTTAAAAGGCTTTTCTCCATAAGCCTGATGTATGAAGCCTTCCATCCAAACAGAGCAATTTAATTAAAATCATTATCACATCAGGCATTAGTTTTAATAACAATAAAGACTTACATATTTGAACCAACTAATTACTTTATTCATCACACAAAATTTAGTAAAAGGCAGAAAAAAAAATTAAGATATTAATTCCTCCTACCTGCTCAAGTTCTTGAGCTTTCTGTCGTTCCAATACTTTGTCTTTGTGTCTTTCACCTTTGACAGCTGCTACTGACGTTGTTTTCAATGACATGAAGCTTAAATTCATCCATTCTTCTCTCTTTAAAATAAACACAAAGAATCAGTGTTCATAATTCCAACAAAAAACACGGCTTATGTGCCAAACCAAAGCAGTGCAACTACTGACAAATGCTGCTGACAATAAACAGTACAGGTTCTACAAACACATATGAAATACTTCAATGAAAGGCAAATATGATTTTAAGAACTCTAATCTTCCAAATTTTTAATACTTAAACAAATTTCATGTCTCCCTGTAATATGAAATACATATTTACAATGGTATTTAAGACATTAGTAAACATGCATATTGTACAGACTGCTAATCATTAGAATAAATAAAAACTCTAATCTCATGATCTCTTACATCTCTTCTAGTGTATACAAAATCTGCAATCAGTATCTGAGCATAGTTTATACCTCAGATATCCAGGCACTAACTGCACCTTTACACTTAACAGTTATACATTTAAATTCTGTGAACTGTAACCACAATAACAGCTAGAATACTGCATTAACAGAACCTAAGCCAGACCAAGGAGATTAAAAATAAGGACTAGACTAAAGAAAAGCAGCATATTAAAAGCCTAGATATATCTACTACTATATAAATATAACCTATTTATATAGGTTAAAATGTGAAGCCTCAAAAGCAAGCAGTGACCTACACATTGTAAGCAGTTACTCGATAAAGGCAAGTATTTAGAGCAATTCTGTAATTCCAGTATAGCAACCAAAATGACCAGATTACACCTATTTTGAAACATGTCCTTGCAGAAGAATCTTCCTGTCTTCAACAGAGTTTGAGACTGAGTCGTCAATCTGAACAGATGCCATATGTCACTTTGTCTCTCTTATTTAAAAATCATGTTAGGCAACATGCCAGAGAATTTCAGAGGTGAAACACAACATTCCATTTCTCAGATCTCTTCCAAGAAAGAGGAGGAACTGCAAAATTATCTATCACCAAATGAATCCATAATATCCACTACCACATCAGCAAGCAATGTGCACCAACAAATGTGGATGTACACAGGACCTCTGGTGGTCATCTGGCCCAAACCCCACTCAAGCAGGGTCACCTAGGGCCAGTTGCCAATTTATTCAATTGTAGAACAGCCACTAAAATTGTGAAGAAAAAAGCAACATGTCTAGTTAAGACCTTTGAGATGATGTCTTCAAGAAAACCAAACTAACTTGTAAGAGCCTCAAACCTGATAGGAGATGGTGCTGGGCAACATTAAGAATAGTGCCTTGTTAAATACTCAAAAGTAGAGAAGGTAGAGAAGTCTTCCAATCAATGAAAAGTAGCATCACCCAGCTAAACAAATACATTTGTCTGTAAAATAGGTTTTGCTTAACACCCTGCAAAAGAGCTCCCAAGAAACCAAAGCATGTTTCACAAGCTGAATTAATCTCTGGAGTAGCTGTGAGCCTGCTCACCTGCAGAGAAGGTTCTTTTGCAGCATCTGGTTGTTTGTTGACCTTCCAAGCCTCTTCTGTGTCATCTGACTGTGACACATTTGACTCAACCCATTCAACTGAAGAATCCTAAAGAGAAAGTTTAATGTAAAGAATAAAAATAACACCTTAACATACTACTTGATAACATGCAATACTTAGCAATTATATTGATAATCGAAATTAATGCTGATTAGCATTACTGATATAATACTGTTTAATATTTAAAAATACTGATAATAAAACCAGAATATTAATATTCCCATATGAGACTGCTCCATTGTGATCAGAACATTTCACTTCATGAGCACATCACAGTATGCAACATTACCTCATACTGGCAGCTTATTTGCATAACTCTACTTAAAGTTAAACAGTCAGAATAAAAACAAAACCAAAACCGACTGGATTTATGGCATAACAAAACCAAAATATTTTAAAAGCTACATGCATTACTAAGTATGTTTCACATTTTAAAAGTTAGATAAGTTACACAGCACAATATAAAGCACAGTACATGCTATTGCCTGATATTTTTGTGTCCAGCTTCCTACACTTGCAAACAGTGTACAGAGTTTTTTCACTTGAATCCAATAGGGCTGCACTGAACAGAGTGTCTCTGCTATTCACATGAAACTGTCTTAGGAGTGAAAGACTTTGCATGGAAGTTACAGCCAGTACTGTGCTGCATCCTAGGCGTCCCTGTTGTGATCTGAAGGGTTTTGGTGACTCCCACAGAGAATGTGGGACATTTATGACTTTGGTTACTTCCCACACTGATATAATAGTTTATCTCTGGTATTAACCCCTGAAAAGTAAGTCTCATTATAATGGACGTTCCTTCACTCCATAAAAGTGACTCTGAAAATTAAAACTAACAGTGCCACCTGACTTGCACCAAAAATGCTGGGAAGATCTTTTCCACAATGTGACCAGAAATCAGCACCCAGATTTCAAATGCAGTCTCTGCATTGTTTTGGCAGAGTGCCCTTCCATGCAAAGCCATGTCCTTACAGATTCAAATGTACAAGTCCTTCAGACCCATGTACAACTCCCACGTTGTTAGGAGTGTAGAGGGTTGAACATCTGAGGAAAAAGGCAGAGGTAATTTGTGCTTAAAATCAAAGTCAATTATTTCCAATTGTAGAAATCTCTTTCTATCATATACCAATATACCACACACTACAGGGTATCTATGAAATTTTCCTCTCTATATCAGAATGAGGGTTTTGTTTTTCATTTTCTCTCTGCTGAAAAACTATAACTCCCTTAGTTCCTAATGACTGAATTTAATATCATAAAATTCACAAGCACTCACGTAACAGCCTATTTTAAATTGATTAAATACTCAGTACATTAAAACTGATAAATTTTGCTGCAGTTTTTCCCAACAGAAAATTATAAGAATGAGCCTTAATTTTACTAACCATGCATACCCACAGGGACTAAAATGGTTCAAGTTTTAAGACTGATTTGAATTTGAAGTATTTTTAAATTTCTTACTTACAGAAGAACTATCAAGTAAGTCATCCTTCTTTTCAGATTTCTGTTTCTTACTTTTCTTCTTTTCCTTCTTAGCTTTTTTGGAATGTTTATCCTTTTTCTTTTTTTTGTGCACAGAATGTTCCTACAAGGAAATGTCTGTAAATGAGATTCAGTAAACCAAATCATCCATATACCAAAAAAAAAATCAAAACCTACTTACCAAACCTCACTGAAGAAAGGTGAATACACATTATGAATACACATAAATACCTTTTATTTTTATTACCCTCTCTCTCTTCTCTGGCAGAAGGGCTGGGGTAGTAAGGGCAGGGAGGGCATACCTCACATCCATGATCAATTTTTCTTCCCCCTCTCAGTATCTTTTTCATTGGAACTAAGGCACTACAACTAAAAAGATAATACCTACTACACTACATTTATTTTGGGCATTATCCCTACATTATCAGTACACATCTTTCCACTGTTTAAATATCTGCACATTAAAAGGATGTGATATTCACAGGCTCCATTAAGGCTTCTCCTGTGAATGAACACAAATGAGATTGCTATGAAGCCTTGAATCCTCCAGATTTCTTCCCATGGAACTATCATTGTCTGATAGCACTTCCTAATCTGCATTTGGTAGAAATTAAAGCTGGAATTGAATGACAGAATTTTTCCTCTTGGTGAATAAAAGATAATGTCTACCTTAAAAAAGCATAAAGAAATCAGAAATAGGGATGTGTTTAAAGACTGCCTTCAAGCCCACCAAGTCTTCTGTTCATATAAACATTCTGTAGAAGTAACAACCCAATTTAATTATTTACAATTTTGTCACCTTTTCCAGTGCTTCCACACCTTCATTCATATCAGCAGGCATACAGGTATCTTCACCTTGCAGATCCTTTAGCAGCTTGCAGCTCTCCTTCTTTTCGTGACTAATTTTGGCCTACGATAAGAAGGAATATAAGAGAAGAAAAATAATCAGGTGGAGCTCAGTAGCATTTCCACTCACAATGTTGAGAACTGCATTTCAGGCTTAAGAATGCTCCTCCATTTCTAGTTATGTGGATAAATGTAGAAATACTTTTCCTACTTCTTCTGAAAAAATAACCATCACTGCCAACAGTTTTAATTCCTGAAAAAGGATTTTTATAAGCCACATCAACAAAATAATTGTTTTTTCAGCCTCTGAAGTTCACTCTGTTATGTTCAGAATAAACATGACTTTCAGAAGCAAGTTTACTTAAGCATAACTTGTTTTTAGGAAATTCTTTATCCCATATATCATATGCCATATATCACCATATCCTAATCAAACAGGAGGAAAGTTATTTTATATTATTACAACCCTAATTTTGTGCTAGATAAGTCTTGCAAACTTCAACATGCTTTTGGGTTTTTATTTATTTGAGGGGTTTCTTTTAAAATAACTAAAATCAAAACAAAACTAAAGGTAGAGAAATTGTTATCCTTCAATTCTTATCCTTAAACGCTAACTTTTACCAGAAAGTGTTGTCAAACATAAGCCAAGAGAACACATACAAGTTTAAGAAAGACTAATATTTAAAACAAACAAATAAAACAGTCTCAGGAGATTGGACAACAGTTGAGGTCTTTCCTCCTGGCCTGTTCTCCAGATCCAAGCCTGTGCATTGCACAACAGATACCACCCTACCACAGGGCAGTATCTCTTTTTTTTTGATCTATCCAAGAAGGAAATCTGCAGCTTTTGTCCTGACAGAAAACAATGCTTACAGAAGGATGACACTCTAAGGGTTCAAAAGAACAGAAACACATGCTAAAAAAATAAGATTAAAAGGGGATTTTTTAAAAGTTCCAGCTCACAAGGACTCTGTTGTGTTTTGAAAGTGAACAACACAATGAACTCAAAAAAAAAAAAAAAGCCCACTACATATCTGTGTCCAAACAAAACACCCTTTTAAACTTTTCACTGCCTATTTTCTTAGCAGTTTATCCATGTTTATCCACATGATAAACTTTACAATGCACTTAAATGCAAGCAAAGCAAAGCTGCTACCCAGACTTCTTGATTTTAAACAAAGGAATATTGTAAAACTAACAAAAAATAGTATAAATCAGCTTGAAAAAAGAGGCAAAGACTGAGACTTCCATCTCTAGAATGAAGCTGACAGTCTACAAAGGTGAATGCTACCGCTTAAAACTCAAAAGGCAAGCATAAAGAAAGAGCTAGGAACACATTCAGACATCTATTCCAACATCAAAACATGTACTAGTTTACAAGTAAACAAAGTAACAAAAGAATGAGCAGGACTACAATTCAGTGGAAGTGAAATAGCTGTTAAGTATAACATAGCATCACTAAAACCACCCAGGACTCAAGAAAGTGCAAGTGTGTTTCCTGCAACTTCTCCATCATACAGAGAGGAAACCCCAGCCACCCTAAGCCAACACCCTTGAAAATTCATGCAGAAATATATCAAATTGATATATTCTCTTCTAATCTATGATGGCTCTTTTGTTTTAAAAATATGCTCATCTGACTAAAACAAAGTAACTAAATATGCCACATTTTTGGACAAGTGAAGGATAATAACTTCAGCTTTGCAACTCACAAGATGTCTACAAGCCACTGACTCCAAACTTAAGCTTATAACTGGACAGAGATGAAACAATGGAGATAAAGGGAACCTGAATACAGTTCTAGATGGAAAAAAATAAAAACAAAAACTCTGACTCCAAGCTTGTTTGCTCCACAAGCAGACACAAAACAAGTTGCCAAGATGTAGATTGAAGAAAAAAAGGCAGGCTTTTCTGCATATTCCATTTCCCTTTGGTTGAGAAAGAAGTGCAGCTGGAGTCAACAGCTCCCTTCCACCCTTTCTGCAGTTCTCCAGCCCATAAATCTATAAATGCCACAAGTAAAGGCCACTCAAGATCAGCTTGTCAACATTTCTTCATTGTAGATGTTCTCTGCCTGTCATGGAAGATTTAGCCTCTTATCTTCTCCTATAACAACAAGTATATTTTAAATAACATTACTATTTTCTTCATGCTGCCAAAGTTACAAATAAAATGAGGTAATGTAATAAGTAAGGCACAAACTGAGCTTTTATATTTTTTATTAGATCTAAAAATAAACAGAATAAATGAAGGCAAGTATTTAAGTAATTGAGATACATCATTCTAATGAAAGAGGTGGATCATAATTTTGGCTGAAGTACACAAATACACATTTAGAACAGATTGACTAGAAATCATCATCAGACTATGGACTGCTGTCTCCTGAATACTCAACAAAACAGGATTGAGCAAGATGAATGTGTAGTAGCAGACTGACCACCAGGCTGTTTAAAAGAGAAAGACAGAAACAAAGGCATCAGATGGAAGTTTGTCCATATTTTGCATCCTAGACAAGGATACAAAAATATAGAATCTTAACAATATATCTATGCAAGATCAAAAAAAAAGAAAGAAAAAAAAATAAGAACACGGCCTAGACATCTAAAAATATGAAAGAAGTTATAATTTCACCTAAATTATCATTTTAACACAAGACTAGAAAGTTAGCAGCAATACCCTCTAAATCTTTCTGTCTCAAAAATCTAGCTCCCTCAAATTATAATATTCAATTTTTATTGTTCATGATACTTTTCCCTCACATACACATAATTACTTCAAGTAGAAGTGAGCCAGAAAATCTGCCTACACTGCTTTATTACTTTATTAGCTTCAAAACTTACCTTCATATTCTACTTTTCTTTTCAAAAGCTGCAGGGCTTACTAGCATGTCATAAAATGTAAAAAAAAAAAAAAAAAAAAACCACAAAAAAACCCCCCTAATTTACCATTCTATCTATGAGGACTAACTCTAATATTTTCACATCTGTCAACCCACAGGAGTCCAAGCATTTAATTCACATTAAGGTTCATTAATACTTACAATACCACAGGAATAACCAATAATTTATACTTTTTCCCCTTTACAAATGAGGTACATTTTAGGTCACTACAGCAATATTTTTCAGGTTTTTCTCCATAAATAGTGGATGATACATTTCTGAAATAACTCTGTTTCAAAAGTAATGCTTTAATTATGGAAATGCCTGTGCATGTACACAAGAAAAAAAAATAAGAACACGGCCTAGACATCTAAAAATATGAAAGAAGTTATAATTTCACCTAAATTATCATTTTAACACAAGACTAGAAAGTTAGCAGCAATACCCTCTAAATCTTTCTGTCTCAAAAATCTAGCTCCCTCAAATTATAATATTCAATTTTTATTGTTCATGATACTTTTCCCTCACATACACATAATTACTTCAAGTAGAAGTGAGCCAGAAAATCTGCCTACACTGCTTTATTAGCTTCAAAACTTACCTTCATATTCTACTTTTCTTTTCAAAAGCTGCAGGGCTTACTAGCATGTCATAAAATGTAAAAAAAAAAAAAAAAAAAGAAAAACTAATTAATTCTCCTGTCAGATTTACCATTCTATCTATGAGGACTAATTCTAATATTTTCACATCTGTCAACCCACAGGAGTCCAAGCATTTAATTCACATTAAGGTTCATTAATACTTACAATACCACAGGAATAACCAATAATTTATACTTTTTCCCCTTTACAAATGAGGTACATTTTAGGTCACTACAGCAATATTTTTCAGGTTTTTCTCCATAAATAGTGGATGATACATTTCTGAAATAACTCTGTTTCAAAAGTAATGCTTTAATTATGGAAATGCCTGTGCATGTACACATGAACTCATTATGAGCAACAACCTGTCATAGAAGGACAAGCATCACGCTACACTACACACTTCTGCAACATCCTAATAAAATTGCTGATGGTCTCCTTTGCAACAAAAAAGGTGAAGTGTAAGGCTGGCAAGGCACTCTGCAAGGTCTGTTGTTGTGGTGCTACAAAACCAGTAATTATTCTACACTATGTCAGCAATATTTGCCATGGTTGAAGACAGCCAAATTTTACAGACTTTACCACAAGTAGGTGAAAGGAGTTTGAATTTCACAGATCCTGCTGAATGCGGGAGGAAACCAAGTTCAAGGAAAGTGCTTTCTGGTTTCCATCAAGTGGGTTACTAAGGCCAGCCTGCCCAGTAGCTGACAACATGATCTTCTAAATGAATAAAATTTGCTCCAAAGCAGCCTGTAATACACTGCAGATGCAAAACCCAAAAGCTATAAAAATTACATCATGTCACCTCAGGAAGAAGCAGAAAAGATCAAGGACACTGCCAACAGCCAAGTTATAGGTCACACAATAAACTGAGCTTGTTGCACAGTGGTTCCTCAAGGATGCCCAGAAGGGATGGACACAGAAATCCTGACCCTACTCCTTTCTGATCTCAACACTATTTACTGTTTCAGTAAATGCCAGGGAAACTTTTCCAAACCAGCAGAAAGACCTTACAATTTTCCACCTATAACTGTGGTCAACCTCTAGTTCTTGAAATGATAATCCCCATGACTCAATAGTCAACTTCTTCATGCAAAAGAAGGAAGATTCCCTTTTCCTCCACGAGTAACCAGAAGAAAATCTACAGCACATCAGATCATTACAGAATTACAAAAACATTCAACAGAGAGAGCACCAGCTAAGCTGCTGTCCTGGCCACCTGCCACGGAAGGGCAGGGCTCCATCCCACACCACTCCTCTCTGCGCTGCCTCTCTCACATGCTCCCACCACCTCACCCACCCAGGCCTGATCCTGCACTCCAGTCTTAGGCAAGTCACTTACAGGTCCACCCTGACACAAAATAAATCCCACCGAAAGGATGGTGCGGCTTCCTGCAGAACAAGCTTACAAGTTGCCACTCTAGCAAGGTCATCAAGACTCAAGAAACATAGGGGCAAAGTGCACTTAGGGGGAAAGACGTGTGGAAAAAACTTATTTTCAGCAACAGCTTTCTGTTCAGAAAGTTCAAAAAATCTAACACCTAGCCAGTCTTTCAGACACCAAGATAAGGCATTCAAAATATCTACAATGAGTTTTTCTCTCTAATTTCAGGATCATCTCCTATACTATCATACAAACTACCCCACCATTTTAACTGTTTTGATGTCAAGTATCAGAAAGGTTGCTATGCCATGTATTACCACCCCATTACTTCCCATGACCCCAAAGCTCAGGGACAGAGAGCCCTGGTTACCTGAGTGCTTATCTCCAGGGAACTTGAACATACCCTTCTTTTGCAGCTCTGATGCTTTTATATCAATTCTCTGTCTGAATAACACACTTAATTTGGTGAATGCTTAGATTATTTTTTGAGTCTCAATATTCCAGTTATTGCTGCATCCACGAAGACTTCCCAAGGAGGACAACAGTGGAAACACAAGAAAGAGCTTAGCTTCCAACACAACTTGGGAACTTGCAACTTGAGTCTGAAGTTGCCTGCATCACCACCTCCTCCAGACACAGCTTTGCCAACTGGAAATGTCACCACTCTTGTCATTTTCACCTGCCAAAAGGCACAGAAGAAAGGTCACCGAAGCGACTATCACTTCAATCATTTAAGCTTCTTGTGATCAATAATCAAAAGTCAGATGTGATTTAAAGAGCAGGCTACAGGAGATGGCAGCCTTCAGTCAGAAACATCTGGGAGGCAGCAGAGGTTCAGCTGGTACACATGCAGACACAACAGATAACTAGAAACTATTACTGGTAGGAAAGCATAAATAGGTATTTCTTGTTAATGTGACATCTCTCTTCATCACTGACCTTCAAAAATGACCTGTCTGTTCAAAGATGTTGCTTGCAAAAATGCATAGAGGTGCTTTGACAAAAATCAAAAAATCTTTTGTGAAAAGGCAGTATTCATTTCTCAGTACCATTACTCTTCTAATAGCACAGATTGAAGTGCTGAAGTGCTTATTTCCTTCAGCAGATAGAGTTGGGGATTTAACAGTTCATGAAGGATTTAAAAGGGAAAGAACAAAAAGGAGATGCTTACTATTACAGCACAGAAGCAACTATAACCCCTACCAGAGACATGTTTTGCTACTAATTTCTGCCTAAGGAGAGATTTCTGTAATTTTCCACCAAAAACTGCAATGCAAAATACTGCCAAGCACTCCATCACCTCAGCAAATACTCATCACTGCAAAAAGACAACTGTTAGGCTTTTAGGAGGAAATACCTGATCGTACTTCACCAGCAAAACCTGCTGATTTCACAGCTTCTTCAGAGCTCTAATACTGTGAACTCAGTGATACTGTTATACATTGTTTGTTGTTTGCTTTTCTTTAATTTTAAGTTGTATTTTCAAAGAAAATAAAAAATGTAAACCAAAAATTAAAGGGAGAAGACTAATCAAAAGTATCAAATGAGATGTTTCCAAAAATAATGGCTTGTAAATCTCAAATCAAATTTTTCATAAATATAAATAAGTAAAACTAAACATGCAATTTCTTGTTTGTGCAATTAACTTGTTTTATTGTATCAATTTATTTTAATTGATTCAATAACATACATTATTTGACAGAGGTCTTATTTATCTATACTCAACTTCTGATCTGTCAGTAATCCTTAAAAATTAAAAGGCAGGAATTTCTGCACAAGGAATGGCCAAATCACATCACCCCTCAGAGGCTGAAGACTGAAAGACTCAAAGTCCATGGAAGAAACCCCAAGTAACAGAAGAGCAACCCTAAAATACAAAAACACTGTATGAAACAACAGATGCAAAAATAATCCAAAATTTGAAGCCTTGATAAGAAGTGCTCATGTCCAGGAAAAATACACATCTATGCACTTACCACAACACCTAGATTATTTTCTTGCTGTAAACTTGTAAACAAAAATAACAGTGTCATGAACTATCATGCTCCTCAAAACAAGATGCTGTTTCTGAAGCTTTCTAATGATTTGCATGTCAACACTTAATTATTTGATTACTGATCATTATCATAAACACTCTCAGCCGCTGGGTTTTATCAGTGCAGTTTGGAAGAAAGACTACACAAATAAAAGAACACACTTCCAAGATTTAAAAGAGAAATCTCGATCAATTAATTGTGTGGCATTTTGGTTCATCAAAACAAGTACAAGTTCAATATTTCATAACAAAAAGCTCCTTAAGGTGAGTTGGCTGAACATCTCATCTTTCCAGAAACAGATCTACTAAAGTACAATTATTTCTGAAAATTTCTTAGATTACCAGAAGCAAAGACTACACAGCTTTCCAACTGTCTTTCCCAAAATAAAGGGATTCCAGAATTACAATCACCAAGTAACTGTCTTGACTGCGTTAGCCAGCTGTGATAAGTTCCTGCTAACCACTTGCTGCCTTTCTAAGCAAGACAAACAAAACACAGAGAAAAAGTGTCACAGTAGTTTTTTCCCAGTTCTGTTCATAGAATCATCAAATATCCTGAGTTGGAAGGGACTCACAAGGATCATCAATGTGCAACTCCTGCCCCTGCAAAGGACACCCCAAGAGTCACACCATGTGCTTGAGAGCATTGTCCTAATACATCTTGAACTCTGCCAGGCCGGTGCTGTAACCTCCTCCCAGGAGAAACTGTTCCAGTGCTCAACCACCCTTTGTGTGAAGAACCTTTTCAGAATATCCAACCAAAACCTCCCCTGACTCAAGTTCAGGCCATTCCCTCAGGTCCTGTCACTGGCACCACAGAGATCAGTGCCTGCCCCTCCTCTTTCCCTCACAAGGAAGGTGCAGGCCATGAGGAGGTCTCCCTTGAGTCTCCTCTTCTCTACACTGAACCAGCCAAGGGACCTCATACACCTGCAGCCTCTAAGCCCTTCACTGTATTGGTTGCCCTCCTTTGGACACCTGCTAATACTTTAATGTCTTTTTATATGCTGGCACCCAGAGCTGCCCCAGCACTGGAGGTGAGGCTGCCCCAGAGCAGAGCAGGACAATCCCCTCCCTGAATCACCTGGCTGCTCCACAGCAGCAGGCAGTCCAACCATAACCAAAGTAAAGCAGAGAAAGTCAACACACTTAGGACATTAATCTGTTCTCACACAGGCAGCAACAAGTCCATTTCTGAAAAGCAGACAGCAGAGTATTGACATGGCAACTATGACATCCTCATGCTTTCACATTATAAAATGCTGAATTGACTTTTCACAGAAATAACAGAGTATTTACAGAAGGAGTCTTTTAAAAGTTGCCATTTTCCATAGCTATATTAGGTTATTTGGTCCATAAATAGGAAAAGGCAACATGAAATGAATTGTTTTTTTTTTTTTTAAAGTTTCATTTCTAAATTTCCCTATCATCCAAATAAGCAACAAAGGAATCTCTACAGCTTCCTTTGGCCCACATGGGCTTGTATACAATAAAATGCTTATTATACACTTCTGCTAACACATTCTAAAACTTTGGTATAGAGAAGGAGGCAGGGGGGAAACTCCTAACCTTCAATATGTCTCTCCTTACTTCAACTTTTCATTGTTACTGCAAGGAATAGAAATAGCTCAAGGACATTCATAAAGTGATGAAGACCAATTCCACAAGCAACAGCAAAGAAAATAATTTGATCATTAATGTATGTTTCAGTATTACTCAAATGCACCCAAGAAAATCTTTGAAAATCAGAGAATCTGACTTAGCTTTAGATTGCCTGGAAGTGAAAACATAACAATGTGGAACTATAACACAGACTCTATACTGTCACTTTCAGTAAGAAGCTGAAAAGTCACATTGGGAAGGTTTCTCATCAACCACATAGGGACCAAGCATCTCTAATGGTTAACTTCTGTAGAAAACACTATAACACAGACTCTATACTGTCACTTTCAGTAAGAAGCTGAAAAGTCATCAACCACATAGGGACCAAGCACCTCTAATGGTTAACTTCTGTAGAAAACAATGTCTTTGTCTCCAGATCCATTCCTACACACCACAAAAAATTTACTTGAAGAATCACAGTGGCTAGTATTTCACAAATTATACTCCATTCTGTTTCCCTGTACTGGACTTCTTGGTGCTCTGACATACTCAGAACTGAGAATCTAAACTAGTATCCCAACTAAAAAATGTCCAGCAATGCCCAGGAAAGCTAAAGTGTATACAGGCTTAAGTTCAAAGTGAGCCATCTCCAAAATATTCCTGAATCCTCCAGCAATCTGAGGCTCAACAACTTTTCAATCAACAGCTTCCAACAAATACTTTACATTTTAGGCTATTCTTGTTTGGATGGAAGTGCAGTGCTTGTATTTGCAACATGCTATTCAAGAGACCATACAACTTCTCTGTGCATCATCTGAAAGTTCACTTCTTTTGTCTGCTTTAAACTGGCTACCTGAAAAATCCTTAACACAACCTAATTGTTAACCTGAAAGAACCATCAGGTAACACTTTCTGTTCCCTTCTCCATATCATTTAACAATTTTACAGAACTCTCTTGCATTACCTTTATTTTCAGCCTACCTTTCCTTGTCTCAAAACCTCTGGAGTCCTTGGCCAGTCTGCACCATGATCATCTATCTCTGCACCTTTCTTCCCACCTTCTCCAAGGCTGTTTGGTTCTTCTTGAGATGCTGGGACCAGGGCTGCATAAGCTATTTGACATTACACAGAAATGGGTAACATTTCTGTGCAACCACTTTCTTTGTTCTTTATTCATCTCACAGTAACTCTAACACTTGATCAGCTTTTGTCTAAGCAATGATGTAGCATCTTTATAGAGCTATTTATTCCCCAGTTTTGAATGGCAAAAGCCAATGCTGAGCCCACTGCTGTACAAAGAAAATCAGCGTTTGCCTTACTCCAGAAAATCAGGTTTGTACACTCGGTTTTCTTTAGTATCACACAAATATGGCAGATACAATGTTAAGATATTCATGTAGGAGTAATTTGTATTCATGGCATTTAAAAATATGCTGAAAAATACAATGATGGTCTGTTTCTTGCTCAAGTCAAAGAAAATTACAAAATTCAACAAACATCCTACATGCATACCTTTTCATACACTACAGCTTAGCAATAAGAAAAAATATCAGATTTGGTTTCATTCTAAAAACTACAAACCACTTTCTCTAATATTCTTCAGCAAGGCTGATGAGCAGAATCTAAACCTACAAGAATATATCAAGACTGAGAGTTAGGACCTATGACTCTACAGTATCATCAAAGAACTCTTGAGACATATCCTAACAGCACAGCCCAGGTGCTGAAGCAGCAACTCTTTGAGACATACCCTAAGAGTGCAGTGAGAAGTGTAGCCCCCTGCTCAAGACACCAAACTTCCTAGCAACTACTGGAACTGTGCCAAAGACAAGCTGTGCCCCAGGCAAAAAGGCACAGCTTTGCACAAGCCCCTTTGCACACCTCAGGGGCCAGCCAGGAGAGCAGGCACTCAGAGACACTGCAGGAGCCAAGGACTCAGCAGGAGGAGCCCTGACCATGGCACACTACTGGAACTGTGCCAAA